CCCATTCGTTTTCTTTAATAAAATACTATTAACATAACCCCTATTAAGCGGACACCCCTCTCGGACGCGGACACCTTATATAATACTTGAGGTCCCAATGGGCAAACCAACCTCTCTTAAGCGGACAGATTGTCTGATAAAATGTATTCAATATTCGACAGTAAATAACAATTGAGATCAATTTACATGGCACATTGACAGTGACACACCAACTTGGCGCGAAGACATCAGGGCCAAGATTATTGAGTAAGTGACGAACGAGGACGGAGGACTGTGAGCCGTCAGCCGAGGAGCCGAAAGATATGTGTCAGATCACTGATGATGAAAACGAACTGAACGAAGATGATGAATTAGACTGGTCTCTTAACGAACCAGTCATTAAATCGTCGTTCGAAGCTCTTAAAGTTGTCTAGCGGCTGGCAGAATTCGCACAATTTCGAAGTTTGGAAGAATTTTCCAACGCCATATTTATGTAAATGACATTATAATGGGCTATCGTCTGCGTGAGTCTCGAAAGCAAACTTGTATCGATTCCTTTTTTATATGATTATGAGAGACGTATACATTTTCTAATGAACTTTTATGCACAAAGAAATTTTCATTTTATGCTAGATATGTTTATGCTAGATATGTTTATGTTTTGATACTCAAATTACACACCTAATTACAGACATTTGCCTCCTGTTGTGTTTTTCTACATACCCTTTTTAAGCGGACACCCCTTTTAAGCGGACACTTGGCCAGGTCCCGAAGGTGTCCGCTTAATAGGGGTTCGACTGTATAACCGTATTTATAGTCAACTAAATGATCTAGTAAAAATGAGTTGTGGTAAGCAAATGAAATGAAATGTATCTATAGAATTTCACCTGCCATTTTTTTTACTTTGGCAGTTCAGATTTGTTTTTGTCTGCGATTTCTAGAATATGGCCTGCTTTTAGCCATTGGCAGCCCGCTATTTCGAGCCCTGGACTTGACACTTACAGAAATGTTGACAGTTGACACTTACAGGAATAGTGGATAACTACAGGTTGACCATCATATGCTCCACGAACTTAGTGAAATCAACTTATATAGTAGACATTAGTTGAGGATAAGCAGGATAGAGCACTCGTATACCATTGTACTGTTTGGCTTCTATACACTAATACGATGGCGGCAAAGGCGATTTATCAAGGGATGATCGTACCGATTCTGACTTATTGTGGTCTAATGTATGTGCACCTATGCCAATCTCTAGAAGATAAACTTCTGCATGGCATTTCACCATCATGCATTAGTTAGATTTAATACCAACTATGAATGCGATGATATCAAATCACCTTCCATTATCACCCGAATGAAAGCCTGTCAGTTGGTTCGAAATTGTCTAGATGGAAATATCTGCTCCAATTTAAGTTCTCAAAAGAACCATTTTGAGATAAACGTACATGGAAGATCAACCCAAAACAGTGGATATCAATTGAAATTACCAAAAATCCGACTGGAATACAGCAGACGATCATTCTATTACTACATAGGGGCAAAACTTTATAATGATTTGCCAGAAAATATTCGAAAGGGGGAAGATAATAGCACCTTCAATAAGCTTTTGAAAAGATATGTTTAACTTTTTCAAAATCCTTCTTAATATTTTAGCTATATTAGTGCATGCTTTTTGGAAATTTGTTAGGATTACAGGACCCGCACCGACAACAGGTCTTTACCGAACTGAAGTGATTCATCCCGTATAAATATTCGATTAATAAATAAATAAATATAATGTGGGTCAACAAGACGAAAGCACAGGAAGTCAGAAACTGCTATTTATCAATTATTGGACGAGGTTGAGCAAAACATCGTGATTTGTCGGTGGCGAGCAGATCAATTATTTGCCGATGCCGAAGGCAGAGGCAAATAATTGATCTGCGAGCCACCGACAAATCACGATATTTTGCGACAATCGAGTTCAATAATTGTTTTATCATTCACTTATAAAGCTTAATTTTATCTTTCGTTTACTATATAAGTTCGCCGTCTCTCTTTCTTGCTTCTGCATAAAAAGTTGCGAAGGACACTGGCTTCGTTGATTTATCTTGCTTCTAAATGCTGGCGAAAGACATTGACTGCGGTTTTAGTCGCTTTTTTTTATTTTCCGCGTTTTTTTCTTCAAGTAAGCAAGACAACTCATTTTCCGAAAGTTCAGCAAAGCGAGCCGCCATTGCTTACAAAAATTGAAGGCAATGCGCATGCTCAGACTATTATTTGTAGCTGAGCAACGTTTTTAACAAATGCGCATGCTCAGACTATTATTTGCACGCAGTTATTTGCAGGTAAATTAACCAATGAAAATTGAGAATACTATAAAGTGAATGATAAAATCATTTATTGCGGAGTGAACTTTAGTCAAAGCACTAGATAAAGTTGACTCAGCTCAAGTGAGTGTTCGTCACGAGAGACTAGCAAACAAAGTCTTTACTACCAGTGGCGCCAGAACCACGGGGGAAGCAGGTTGCCCTGTGTTATTCATATGAATTGAAATTGACAACTGTTTTCCAGCAATTTAGCTCAAATTTGAATCTGGAATTCCTCTTAGAATCGTTACCAGGGTTTTCTAATAGCTATGTGCAAAAACTTCTATTTGTTCAGTCGTTGAATATCTAATTTTAGTAATTTTTTGGTTTGACTTGCAGGACTCACATTTCCAGTTTTGGCAAAACGGATTCTGTTCATTTTGGTCATCTGAAGTGAACTTCACAGTGACAATTTCGGAGAATATCTTGGATATTTTTGTTCCACTGAACCGCCATGGTCATGCTCTCCTGTCAAATCTCGTCTATCATATCGATTCATTACTGCAGGAGTGGTACCCGCACCTATGTAAGTGAAGCATTGCTCAAACAAGGATGAGAGTTGATGAGCAGGCCTGCAAATAATTATTTTACTTGAAAGGACAAATCATAGGCAGCCCAAAACGGCGTGTTGAATGCACCAAATGCTTCCAAATGTCAATTTATATTAATTTTTATAGAATATTCTATATATATATGAATATAGAATGTTCTATATATATGAACAATGCTTTTCATTGAGTGCTTGCGGCGCGCGACAAATGACAGAGGAATGGGGCGAGCTTAATATAAATGATATTTGGAAGCATTTGGTGCATTCTACACGCCGTTTTGGCCTGCCTACATTCTCGTACCCAGAGCCCTTCTTACGCGCGGTGCGACGAGGGGCTCTGGCCAAATCCATATCCGAACTGGCATCTGATTGGCTAGTTCTAACACCGGATATTGTTTTCTTACCATGTTTTTATGGTATCCGGTTATGAATTTGGCCAGAGCCCCTCGTCGCGCTCCGTTGACCGCGCGTAAGAAGGGCTCTGGGTACGAGAATGGGCTGCCTATGGACAAATGTCTGCATGGCCAAACCAAAAATTAGTCGGACATTTATCAATTTTCCCGGACAATGGACAAAGTAAAATTTTTCATATTTTGTTTTCAAAAGTAGCACGATGTATTTTTTTGCCTGCTCATTAATCCGCACTGCAATGCGTCTAGAACTTAGTAAATATCTACCTAATGCATCAGTAAATTATGGTTCAGGTTATACATAACTTTAATTTCTACCATGTATACGAAGGTGATGTAGATTTATAATTAACGGCTTAATGCAGCAAGAAATGGTGGAGAAGTGCTGTCTTTTTTGCTTTCTTGTTGGTTTAATTAATAAAAAATGTGTTAAATAAACAAACCAGAACAAAAGTTGCATGAGAGTTGCAGTATTATGGCACGAAATAAGTTGCACGTTTCCTAGTAATTGCGATTAGCATTTCTATATGCTCAAATGGTTATGATCAAATGCGCTTGACATTAAGTATTACGCTCACCTAATTACATACTTAGCCTAGAATATTTTATCTTTACGACAATTGTGATATTACTTTCTTAACTGTGTTTATCCTAAACCACCCTGTCAACTTTCCCTGTGGGAGGAAACCGCAGCACCCAGAGAAAACCCAACAACTTTGGGAAGAACGTTGACTAACTCTTTTCACATAAGTGTCAAAAATCCGCAGCGAGAATAGAGCCCACGATCTTGGAGGCGAAAGCCGCTTGGTCTGACGTTTGCGCCACTGAAACCTATCGCAGCTGAAAATATCTGCCCAACAACGTTCGGCAGAGCGCTGACTGACTCTTTTCACATGAATCCGTAGCGAGAATTGAACCCACGAACTCTGAGGTGAAAGGTTGCAACCTCGTCCCCAGGGCATTTTGCCTCCACGGGTGAAGGTCAGTTTCGCCGACCTTCAGCCGTAAAGGCAAAATGTCCTGTGGACGAGGTTGAGGCGCCAGCTCTGAAGACTGACGCCACTGAAGCCCCATACTAATATTGAATTTATGAAAATTCGCAGGTGGAGTTGACCCACTGTACAACAGGCCAATAATACAGAAAACAACCTTATGTACGTGCAGAGAACACGAGTTTCTTCTGGAAGATTGTACCACGCCTAACATGAGGTGCGCCGGAGGTGGACTGGTACCGCTGGAACAACTTGTTCCAGACTTGTTGATTGCGCATGTTGATGAACGACACATTATTGATGAGAGTGATTTGATTATTGAAGAGAATCCAAGGTCTATGTTAGGAGAAGGAGCTTTCGGGAGTGTTTACCGTGCAAAATATAAAAATAGGAATGTTGCTGTTAAGGTAGGATTCGTCTTCATTAGTTATTTATTAATTGCTTCGATAATTAATGAATTAATCGAATAATTGATTGATTGAATATTCGGTTATTCGTTGGCACTGACTTGATCACTGAGTCGAACAGGGATTTCTTTTAATATTCAATGAAAACATTTTATCCTACCCCAGGGTCTGGTTGTACAATGGTCTTGATAACCGGTGACAGAGCTGCATGTTGCTTGATCTTTCAATTTTCACATTGTAGATATTCCGCAAGCAGATTGAGTTAGATCCTCGCATACATTTGGAACAAGAGGTCAGATTACTCGCTAAATTACGTCATCCAAGTGTTATAGACCTTGTTGGTGTATGTTGTGGTTCCCGGTACATCGCAGTCCTGGAGCTAGCACCACTTGGCTCACTCAACATGATCTTTCGTAGGGGCAAACGGTTAAGTCGAGGTATTCAACATTTGATCGCAATGCAGGTGAGATCATTGTTATAAGATAGTCGAACCTCCCCCTACTGACATCTCTCTAATAATACAATACGGGCACCTCTCTAATAATACGGACACTTCTCTAATATTGACACCTCTCTAATATGGGCATCTCTCTGAAACGAACCTCTCTCTAATACGGACACCTCTCTAATAATGCAGTACGGACACCTCTCTAATAATACAGTACGGACACCTCTCTAATAATACAGACACCTCTCTAATAATACAGACACCTCTCTAATAATACAGACACCTCTCTAATATGGGCCTGTCCAATACGGACACCTCTGTAATACGCACACCTTACGGAACACCTTACACACACCATACGAACACCTTTCTAATACACACACCTCTCTAATATGGGCATCTCTCTAATATGGACACCTCTCTAATAATACGGACACCTCTCTAATAATATGGACACCTCTCTAATAATACGGACATCTCTCTAATAATACGGACATCTCTCTAATAATACGGGCATCTCTCTCTCTTTCTAATAATATGGACACCTCTCTAATAATATGGACACCTCTCTAATAATACGGCCATCTCTCTAATACGAACAACTCTCTAATACAGACACCTCTCTAGTATGGACACCTCTCTAATAATGCGGACACCTCTCTAATACGAACACCTCTTTAAACAGACGCTTCTCTAACATGGACACCTCGCTAATACGGGACACCTCGCTAGTACGGACACCTCTCTAATACAAGCACCTCTCCAATATAGACACCTCTCTAATACGGATAAATCTCTAATATTTGCTTGATTTTCATTTCCATTCTAGGTTGCAGACGGATTAAGATTTCTTCATCATCACACAATCGTGTATCGAGATCTTAAACCTCACAATATTTTAATCTTCTCTCTTGCTGCTGGCTCACTAATCAATGCCAAGATTTCTGACTTTGGAAGCAGTCGCTATGCAACGCCTTGTGGCTTTATTGCGCCTGAAGGAACGCCTGGATATCGAGCACCAGAGGTATTAAATAAAGCTTGAGATTGAAGTGAAACCTAACCCCAAATGTGATTGATATGAAATATTTTTTTAGTAAAAAACCTCATCTTAATGAGGTAAATAAAAAACCTCATCAAAGTCGCCGGATATAATGTCATTCGTTGAATTGCCAATTCTCCGATCCGAGTTTCTGTTATCAATTTTCCATCTTCCAGCCTGGTTCACACTAGCAATTCTGTCCAAGATTTTTCTCCTCCTGGCCAATGTGATTGAATGAATGACGTGCAAAAGACTTAGAATTGTTTACTTCTGAAAAGCGACTGTATACTTTTGTGTGCGAGTTCACTCATTTGCATCCGTCAGAAACACAAAATCAACGATAAAAAGCAGTGTGACCTCAGAATTGACCATTTGCGTAAGGGGCCATTCACAAAGGATGTCCGGCCAAATGATGGATTTTCAGACCCCCCCCTCCCCCCCTTGTCCGGCATTGTCCGAATTAGTGACCCCCCGGACATCCGCCATGCCTCGCAAAAACTCACGCAACCTTGTATATATCAAGAGTAAAAAACTTTTTTACTTTTAGAACTTTTTTATAACTGTAAATGTGAACACAAAAACATATAAATTACTAATTAAAACAAAATCTAGTGTTAACCGCATAGTCAAAATGCCAATTTCACAATGGGAAGGACTGCTCAAAATAGAGGGAAAAAGAAATTTGTTTTTGAATTTTTTTAAATTTCGGACATCCGGATTGCTAAAAACCCCCCTCCCCCCTATGTCCGAGTTTGTCCTGATTTTCCAAACCCCCCTCCCCCCTCGGCTCGGACATCCTTTGTGAATGGCCCCTAATAGACTAAATTTTGATCTAAACAAGTCTAGACAAAAATTTCATCACAGCTTGAAAGAGTATCACAAAATTAGTAATATTCCAGTCATTTTAGATTACAAACGGGAAATTGACAGCCCCAAAGGGTATTGGGCTGTCGATTTTCCGTTTGTAATCTAAAATGACTGAAAATTGCAAACTTCGCAAGGCTATATTATCCGCATCTTACAACATTTCGCAACGAAACTTTGGAATATTACTAATTTTGTGATGCTCTTTCAAGCTGTGATGAAATTTTTGTCTAGATCAAAATTTAGTCTATTACGCAAGTGGTCAATTGAAATCTTCATGCTCAAATTAATCTATACCGAAAGTTTCAGATGTTTGACCATCCAGAAATTTAATTTTGGGCTTTTTTTCATTTGACGTAATGTTTCAAATCTGACTACGAGGACTGGACTAGATTTCAAGCAATCGGATCAAAGCGAGGATTTGAAATGACACCTGATCATACGAATGAATTACTACTTAAAGTGAGGTGAATTAATTTTGATCCAGTCCAAGAACTGAATTAGTTTTGATCCAGTCTTAGGGCCTGTTCATATGATCCCGCTTACCGGGACGTCTCGCTTACCGATGATCTCGCCGCCTATCTATTTTCCTATAAAATTTTGCATTGTGTTCATATGAGAAAGCGAGCTGGCCCGCTTGCCGAGATCTCGTTTGAATTTGCCGAGATCATAGGTAGGCGGGATGAAAATTTTTCCATATGAACACGCCAGCCCGCTTACCGGGATGAAGTGAAACAAGTCTTGCCGGTTTAATTCAACACTTTTTACTTGGTTTTATGTTTGTTTTGTAAACAAGTATTAAATAACCACCTGAAGCAATACTTTTTTTTGTAAATAAACGAAGAAAAACACTAAAATCACCAAGTATTTGTGTTGCTTGACTGAAATGTAGAAGTTTTGCATACGCTATTAATTATAGAACTACAATGTAATTTCACTCGGCAAGCGGGACGAAATACTCCATATGAACGCATGGAAATATTCGTCTCGGTAAGCGAGACGTCCCGGTAAGCGGGATCATATGAACAGGCCCTTAGGACTGGATCAGTATACTTCACCAGGTATCCAGTATTATCATGTGAGCAAAATAAAGCAATACGGTTGGCTAATTTACTCTTCAATTATTAATTGAGTTTGAGATTGGAATTTCCGCTCCAGTGGAAGTTGAGATTCTCTTGTAGCACCATTCAAAAACTCACAGAAACCCTCTTATCGATACGTTCTACTAAATATTTCTTAAGGTGGCTCGTGGTGACGTGGTGTACAACGAGAAAGCGGATATATTCTCACTAGGAATGCTTCTGTATGAACTAGCGACAGAAGGGAAGCAGCCGTTCAGTGATCTTAAATTTCGCAGTGAATTTGACGAGGCTGTGATCACAGGGAGACCTATTGATCCGATTGTGGTGGCAAACGCATCCCCCTGGCCGGACATGCAAGATCTGGTGGATCATATGTTGGTTTCTGAACCTGATCAAAGACCGACTGCTGACCAGGTGAGACTGACTGTTATGGATGGGAGGTTTGGGTTCCCAGAAAATATTTCCTGAAGAAAGAAAAAGAGATACTTGTAAAAATTCGATTCCTGCCAGGGACCTATGGTTGCATTTTTCGCAGCTGTCCCTGGTTAGGTTTAATAAGTATATATAAATTTCCACTCGATAATTTCCATTTACAAGTAGGGTTGGGCGATATTAAAAAAATTATCTCACGATTATTGTCAAGGAAATTATCACGATATTCGATAATATCGTGATAAATGCAATAAAAACAATGACCATGAAATCAATATAGTCTAATATTTACTGTTCATAAACCTGAACTGTATATGCAGTGGCTACGCCACGGGCACACAGCGGAAACAAAGCCTGCAAATTCATTGTTCAGCGGATTAATACATAAATATTAAATATTAGCTTTTGTATCGTATTAAATTCGTATTTAATTCAGGAAAGAGTTTTAATTCTTTTAAAAACTATATTTTCTATAGGAATTGAAATAATTTTTTAGGATTTTATAAAAGCTATATACACATGCGAAGCAATATCACGATAGACATCAAGCATGACGATAATTTCGATATATCGTCGCTCAAGTTTCTACCTTCGATACGATAATCGCGATTGAAAATATCGCGATAAATCAAAATATCGAAATATCGCCCAACCCTATTTACAAGACCCTTCAACTATTACAGTATTGAATTGAGTGAGATGCCAATAAAATCTCGATACTTGTCCATTAAGCACAATCGTGCAGCAGATGAGGAAGTGTTGTATGAGGCAAATAAACAGAAGAGATCTGGAGAGAGAGTATTTAAACTTTCTTGTTCCTTTGAGATAGAACGTTCAAATAGAGGCGATTGATGATGCTTTACGATAAGTCGTTGTCCGATCTGCTACTAAACCGATATGTCAATATCCTTATATTCATCATCCGCTTCTGTTTGCTCGCTCTGCTCTATATATTTATTATTGGTATTCATGCTTTATATAGTGTTCTATTTTATAAATTATTGTTAAGGGAGGTGCCTTGCATGGGACTTATCGACTCGTTTGTATCTTCCCTTTGGGGCCATCGAATAGTTTATGTCAGTGTTATATTGTGCATGGTCCAATAAGGTTGTTAAAACTTAAAAAATTAACACACTTACTGAAACCCAGCAATCTGATACAGGTTTACCAAAGACTAAGCGACCCAGAGTTCATCTGTCTGAAGCAAGACATCGCAGTATGCAAAGGCCAAGCAGTTGAGTGTATGGCTACCCGATATTTCCTTGATCATGGAGTAAGCAAAATGGAGGTGTGGGTCGGAAGCGGAACCTCTGATTGGACAGATAAGAAAATTAACAATGAGAAGAGCACGCATACGTCACAGCTGTCACGTGTTGATTTGAGTTCATCAAAGCCCAAGGTAGGGATCGAATCTGTACAAAGTTAACTATCAGTGACGCAATAATTACTCTGGGCGCAGATGGAGGCTCTCTGGTGTCAGGCGAGTTTGATCCAGGATAGCCAATAATAAGCTGTCAATTCTGAATTTTTCATGCTGTGTTAGTTGTGGATATTATAAGTACTACAATGGATATTATGAGTACAGCTCATTATTGATACATTCCATCTTGAAAGATTGAATATTAGGCCGTATAAAATTCGACATAGTGAAAACCGGCATAACTTATATTGTCTTCCTTGTGCTTATCGTGCCTTTGAACAATTTAAACACAATTTGTAATATATTCTGCACTCCCTTAACGAATTAATATCACCTACTCAGTGGTTCCCGTAATATCACTTATAGTTACAGACTTATTACAAGTTGTTCCAACAACTTGTTATCGTCCTGCAATTCAACAATTTGTCGACAGGTTCATGTGAGTGACATCCTTGTAGCAAATTGATAAAATAATAGCATTGTTACAACTTGTTGACAAGCTTCCTACAAGCTTGTTGCGAACACATCTTGTTGACAAGTTGTGTTTTCTACCTTATCAGAATCGTACCGAAACTCAGTCTATTTCTTTGTTTGTTTGTCGAGGACTAGAACTAATGACTTCAGCACATTGACTGCAATGGAAAATGGGCTTAAGAATATTACTTTGTAATTGTTCTTTAGGGCTGTAAAGGAACCATTCTACAAGATGGTCGCATCATATCTATTGCCGTTGTTGGAGAGAACTTCATTCTTGTTGGAACTCAAACGGGTCGCTTGTGGGTGTATGATGTTGCCAAGTCAGAGTTTGTCCACGCCATGAGTAAACTCAAGGATGCCGTGCTTTGCTTGCTTCATGTAGAAAGTGTGGATCGTGTGTTTGCAGGGATTGCCAACGGCCAGTTAGCTGTGTATAGTATTGATGAATTCAGAAACCCTCCCAAAGCTACGAAAATTATAGATATTAGCGGGTCTGTATGCTGTCATGACCTGCCTATAATGTGTTTAGCACTGATGAAGCAATCGAAGAAATTACTTTGTGGAGTTGGTCATAACGTCGTTGTTTTTCAACTTGGCTCTCCCGACATGCTCCCCGAATCCCATTGGAGCGTAGCTTCTGAAGCTGAGCCGCATAAAGGACTGGTGTCGAATATAATAGTTGATAAACATGGCATTTGGACGTCTACAAAAGGCAGCGCACGTATTCAATTGTGGAATACGAAATCACAAAAACTTCGTGCAGTTGTAAACTGTGATAGCCTCCCAATTTCTGAGACATTCGAGAACTCCACGCGTGGGATGCGCGTGGTCAGTATGTTGATTCATAATAACATTCTCTGGGTCGGCACGGGGGGTGGACATATACTACTCATCGATACTCGATCCAGTTCCCTGCTCATGACAATGAGTCGACATAAGACCGCTGTACGATGTCTGATGACCGCAGAACTCCTTCAGAAAGACGGGAAACAAATCTCGGTCATGCTGTCTGGGGGACTGGGCTTTGTCCCGCGTTGGTCATCGTCCCGCGAGTGTTCGAGTCGGGACTTTGGGTACGTGCTTGTCTGGGAGTCTGGTATCCAGAAAGAATCCGAGCACCTTCATGAATACAACAAACGCAGGCAGGAATGGCATCTGAACCACAACACCCTGTAACTTGACCTTTTTAAATATTTGAAGTTTCAACCACACACGACAGTAATTTGTAAATGTTAACATAACCAATCGAAATATATTATTCTTTAACTGTATGTACAGCATAAGCCTTCTTTGCCTCGTTCAGATTCTCACGCCTGTATTCTAAAAGCGCATTCGTACTCAAAGAGTGGAGGTTCAATCTGACCTAAACCCTTGAGTGTGAGTACTGTTTCCGAATAGCTGGAGAGTGAGTAGTCACATAGGAAGGTACGACACTAACGCCCGTATTCTAAAAGCTCACTCACACTCGATGAGTGGATAGTTCAGTCTGAGCTTCTCTTTTAATAGCTGGAGGGTTCCCAAATCCGCCATGTAAAGTGTAGTGAAATGTATCTCAATACTAATCGTAATCATGCAAAGTCAACAGAAGCCTCTGCACTATGTGACTACTCACCCTCCAGCTATTCAAAAACAGCATTGACACTCAAGGGAAGCTCAGATGGAACCTCCGCTCATTGAGTGTGAGCGTGAGTGAGCTTTTATAACACAGGGGTAAAACAACATTCAATAAATTGGCTAATTAAGATTCACATGAAAGAAAATTTAAATACGTCTCCATATTAATGAAAGAGGTGTAATTTATGGCAATCGTTCCATGTTTCGCGCACCAATATAGTAAACGTTATGCAATGGATATTATACTGTACTGCAAAGTCAACTGGATACCTCCATATACATATATATATACCCTAACCTTAAACCTAACCTTAACCCTAACCTATATAATATTGGTGCGCGAAACATGGAACGATAACCTACTTTATGTTGAAACGACTTCTCTGTGCATAATTATTAAATCTTTTGAATTTTTCCAATATGACTATGGCAGTATTTTGTCCACCAATTACTGTATATCACTAATTATACCACTCACCTCATGAAGCAAATTGCGAGCAAGAAGGTCTGGGGACGACTCTAGATTGTTTATGTTTTCACAGTACGTCAGCCGTTCACGATGTAAACAAACGATTGGAGGCCAACAAAAGACCGTAATAATGTGATTTCTTAACTTTATGCAAGGTTGGTTCACTTTTATGTCTAGAAGGCATTGTGACACTGCTTTTTCTTTAATAATCGCTCAATTTTTGTTTGATTGTTTAATGTTTATAACTGCGCTGTATTCCCACGTTCGACTTCGAAGCGATCAGATATTGGCTAGCTGTAAACTGGTTATGTTTTACATTTATGGCTTATTTACCCAAAGTCAACAACGTTTTATATATCCCTGAATTCTTGTTGTAATTCGCTTGATAAATGTTAACAATTGGTGTTTTCTAATTTTATGGCATGACGATTGTTGATTGTAACATTGTGATTGTCGTCGTTGACTGATAGAGTGTTCATAATACAATATAAAAGAAAATGCCACATTGTTTTTGAATTTCTGGTGTTATATTGTTATTGCATGAAGGCACTTAAATTATGATATTATCACCATTAAACTTCTGCTTTTGAATTATAATCACAAATGAAATCAACAAGATTATAGTCTATGTTTACATTTTAGGCTAATATTAAAAAAAAGATGCATTGTGCAAATGTGGATTTTTGAGAGCCAACTGTTTTATCCGAAAAAGCTGAGGCTTTCGGCTATCCCTTGAAGAGATGGCATTAGAGTTACCTGATGGCGAGTCGACAAGAGAACTCATCAAGTGCGTTGTTGTGGGGGATGGTGGGGTCGGGAAGACTAAGCTCATTTGTGCACAAGCTCTCGGACAATCTATTCAGCCCGAGCCTAAACGCACACATGTGCATTGTATCCACGGATCACACAAACCCTCGGTATTTGCAATTGATAAGTACTACAAGTCCGCCGAGATTCAAGCAAGAAGCAACATGATAGTGGATGGTGTGCCAGTTGCGTTGCGGTTATGGGACACATTTGGTGATCATCAGAAAAATCGAAGGTTTGCATATCAAAATTCTCATGTTGTTGCTCTGTGTTTTGCAGTCAACTGCCCTCAGTCTTTGGAAAGCGTTAATCATTTCTGGTACAACGAAATCAAGAATTTCTGTCCAAAAACACCAATCATATTGATAGGAACTAAATCCGACTGTCGGCAAGACCAACCACCAGAGGAAGCAAAGCCTTTGAGAAGAACAAATTTCTCACAAAAGATCCGCGAGTGCACTATTGTCACTCCTAGGATGGGCAGGCAGATTGCGCAGGAAATTGGAGCGTACTACTATGAATGTAGTGTTCTTTCAATGACTGGATTGCAAGATGTTATTCTAAACGTCATCCGTGCTGCACTTTGCAAGCAAAGAGGAAAGAGGTTACTGTCTAAACAACTAAGAAAGGTTTTACTACCTCAGTTGCAAGTGCCACAGAAACCCCCACGACCCCAGACCCCAGTTATTGAAGTTCCACCCTCAACATATCACAATGATTTAACAACCCTTCTAGAAAGTCTGTTTTGTTATGATGTGGTCTTTGTTGTTGAAGGTAGACAGATTAAAGCCCATAAAGCTATGCTCATAGCGGGAGCCTGTAAAATGCCAATGCTTTTTGCTGATCAACCCATTGATGGAACAGAATGCTCTGTAGAGTCACAAAGTGTCTCTGACGACGGGCACATTTTAACCGTGATTATCGCAGAGCCATCGCTTACCTTTAATGCACTAAACAGCCTTCTTCAGTATCTTTATTCTGGTTCCATGCCAACGTGCAATGTTTCCTCAGAAATAATTGAAGCTGCAAAATTTTTAAACACCACTATTACCAAAGTTGTAAGTGAGCAAAACGATGCTGTGAACAGTTTGGCCTTCTGGAAGACTGTTGTTGCGAAAAACATGCAGGAATTACTTTTTGAGAAACAGTCGGTGTTTGCTGATATATGGTTTGACTTGGAAGATAATGTTATTCCAGCACATAAAGCAATCTTGGTATCCCGTTGTCCGATGATGGCTGCAATGTTTCAAGAAGGTCATTTTGAAGAAGCCAACAGACAAATAGTAAGTAATAAGGTACATTTTAAGGTTAAGAAAGTTCATAGGCTACTAATTGAAGAGAAAGAATTAGGGGTGCAGAAAGAGATCTGCCCGAATTTTTTGCGTTTTTCCCGACTTATCAAAAACAAATATGTCCATATAAGACAATGCAAGTCCCAATATTCATGTGGATTGGGGGAGGGAGTTTGAAAATTTTCAAAATGTTTAACATTTATGGAAACTTACATATTTCTGCATTTTTTGCTGCAGCCCCCACCCCCCCAAATAATGACATTGTAAATTTTAAATTATGTATCATATTACAAATAATGTAATATTGGTAACTGAGTAAAAATTGTTGAGACTGAATGCTGGCTCACTAGAGGCCATGTTTGTGTGGGCAGATTTATGTCCAGCCATCAATGGTATTATGCAGAAATATTTATCTGTTAAGAGTTTACAAGTTTGCAGCTGCAACATTACTGCTAAAAACGTCCCTATTTCTACTGGGCCAGACAATTTATTGCAATATGAGCCAATATAAGGATTCTAGTATCAACTATAAATATTCCTTAATACAGTGCAGTGTATATGTTTAATATGGTAAACTGTTGAGTGAGCAACAATAATACAAGTTAGTTCAATCAGCTCAAAGTAATGAATTAAGAGGAAAAACAAACAAACGCGCGTCACTGTATCTTTCATTATGTAGTTGCTCTCACAGTACTGAAGTCCATTTTCCACTAGGCGAATTTGTTCACGCGACGTGAAAAACAAATTTTGGCAATGTGATTATGTGATTGCCAGAATGGTCAGCGAAAAAATTCGCGGCGAAAAAGGTGGATCAGTTCCTACTTTTTTACTGTTCGCGCGAACAAATTCGCGTCGCCTAGTGGAAAATGGGCTTTACATGCCTTTTTAAAAACCGCGCAACCTTAGGCTAAACCATGATGTGTTTAACAAACTAATATTAAATAACTTACTAAAGAGTAAAGTCATAAAAACTTCGTGATATAAACATACAACTTCTTTTCATTTTGTACGGACCCATGCATGCAGTGAAACTCCACCGGGTTCTCAATTCTCCCCTCTGCTGCGCGCTTTTAATTTTTGGCAATCAAACAGGGACTTTCTATTTCATATTGCTCTTTAAACAAAACTTTTTTTATTATCTGTTTATTTTGTTATTCTCGAACTTTTCCTTTGCCGAACTTAATGCAAATTAGCTCCAAACTTTAACAATTGTGTGAATTAACAATTACGTAACTTTCGTTGGACTTCGCCGTACTAGACTCGCCAACTGTAGTGTTGTTCTTCAAACTCCACTTTCTTAAGCGTAACTATTCTCATCTTCTTCAGACAGTCTATGATGATGAATTGTCCTGTACGTGGTCCTTAGGCTTAGCACCAGACTGTCCTTGTCACAGGACATATAGCTTGTCTGTACAGTATATGTCTATGTCTGTCTTATTTAATGTCTTTCCGCATGCATATCTTGTTTACTTACTCAGGGTTCGTAGCAGTCTTTGAAATCATTGAAAGTCTTTAAATTTGAATTCAGGTCTTTAAGGTCTTTGAAAAGTCTTTGAATTGTGTGAAAAAGCGAAGAAAGTCTTTAAAAGTCTTTAAATTCTTTAGTTAGTATTTGATTATACGATTTCCTAGCTAATACAATAGATTGATTGAAGCAAGATTTTCGCAAATATCGACGAAAAGGTGCATTTTAGGATCTGATTTGAAGGGACTAATTACCGGGTAAAAATGGTGCTTACACTCGCAATTTTTCGACAGCTGATTGCTCTCAAAGGTCTTTGAAAATAGGCAGAAAAAATCTTTGAAAGTCTTTGAATATTTTTGGTCTTAGAGACTACGAACCCTGTTACTCGATCGCTCTACACTTATTATATTGAATATTGATCCAAATAAATTTGTGTATTGTGAAATTTAATTAAAGTTAAATTAAAAATGTACTGAATAATATGTTCGGCGTATAAAATATTCGGCGTCTGAAACATGGCGTATCTAAAACGCTACTATAGCTTGCGCTGATGACGATCTGGTGACGATCGAAAGCTTTTCAAAATAACTATCACACTAATAACAGGTTCTATTTTGTGAAAAGCAGAACAGTGAAGGGAAGATTTTTGTTTTCAAGGTCAAACTTCCCGGCATGAATTTGAAAGCGTTCCTAGCGGTACTGGAGTATCTTTACACTGACGAGATAAGCAAGACTTATCAAGGAAGCAAAATTGCTGCTATGGCTGTTGCGAATTTCTTCTGTCTGCCAAGATTGGTTGCTCTCTACGAGAAAGTGATTGTTGATGAAATAGAGACGGATATGTTCAATGTTAAGAATGTTGTTGGTAAGTATCTCCCAGGGATGTCGGAACCACGGGTGCAGCGGGTGCAAGTGCACCCCATGCCTTTTGTATTCATAAATTTTTGGGTGCAGTGCGGGTGCAAACTATGGATGCAACGGGTGCACAAAAGATTTCAAACAAATAGGTTACATTGGAGGAGTTTATTAAGTTTATATATGTTATAAACAATGAATTTAGTTTCATAACCTATAGCTAGTAAATGGCCACACAAAACTTTTTTCAGTAGAAGAGAAAGCGAAACAGTTTTCTGCTAATTCTGCATGTGTGCCTTATTTTAATGTTTGAAATAAATAAAAGGTTGCTTCATTGCTTGTGTTTGATTTTAAATAAGGTTATAAGTAGGCAAATGCCCTTTCATTTTTGTTTCTGCCCTTTTTTAAAAAATGTGCCCTTTTGATAGCAAATCGCACCCCCTGGCCCTCAGCAACTTCCGGCATCCCTGGACTATCTTCTCATCTGCCGAGCTTTTACATCAACGATGGATTAGGTCAGTCCATTGTTTTGCGCAAAGTGCGCAAGGCAGCAAACTTTGATTCCAATTTTTTGAACTTCCATTTTAGCGCAAAATTGGGTACACTCAAAAGCAGTCAAGGGCTCTATAAATTTATAAATACACCATGCTATACACACGTAAAAACGCACAAGTTGTTACAGGTCTGCAAACAAGTTGTTACAAATTTGTTCGCAAGCTTTCGACAAGTTGTCTTCGCACTGCTTGTTCCTAGTTGTTGTAACAAGTTTGGAACAAGCTGTTAACAACTTGTAACAAGCTTGATGGCATTATCAGACGTGTTACAAGGTTGTTCTAACGAGTCCGATACAGTCATGATATAGCAAGAATGTTACAAGGTTGTAACAATATTGTTATATCATGACTGTATCGGAACAACCTTACAACAAGTCTGATAATATCAACAAGGTTGTTACAAGTTGTTGTCGGGTTGTTCCAAACTTGTTGACAACTTGGTACAAGTATAGTGCGAACACAACTTGTTGACGAATTGCTACAACTTGAAAACAGCCCATAGTAACTGCCCTTGCATACTGTGAACGAACCTTTAAACTTTATTTCAGAATATTTACTCGAGGCAGAGATGCACAACGCGACACAACTGAAGGCATGGGGCGAGCATTACATCATTACTAATTTTGACAAAATCAACGTGAATGCACTGAAAATGCTTCCAATAAAGACCGCGAGGAGTCTGGAATCCAGAAGATGGCCACCAGTTTGGTATTTACTGGAGAATGACTGGTACACTAAGGCTGCGATGAGGGAAAAGACTAAATTACAAAAGAAACACAAGTAAAACAGAGAACGCTTGACAAGATATAGGTCGGTATCACTAACTTGGACAGTGCTGCAAATGTTGGTCAAGTACAGTATTATCTGGGTGTTTTACTATTGTAGTGTTTGGTGTGCTGTACAGTATGTAGTAATATCACAAAATAGGAACCTTACAGAAGGTCGACCTGTTGGTTGTGTCTATGATTTTGGCGTAACCGTTGCAATGCTGTCAGCGCAGTCTTTGTCAGTGCGCTTATGTGAGGGATTCACCCCACTGAAAATATTTTAAAAAGGTGGCCGTTCAGGGGATGAATGCCTCTCAACCGTGACGAATCATTGCGAATCATGACGTGGCAGGGGTTATGCTTTTTTTGACTGTATCGATCTTCTGTTTGTTTCCATTCTGTGGTAATATTTAATGCAATCTGTTCGCGCTCTCATAAGTATCAATACGTTGACTACCACGCGCGGCACCACATACAAGATATTCACTGAAACTCACCTATACGCCATGCAGGGTCTGATTGTTCAAAAGCTGGTTAGCCTAAGCCTGGGTTAACTTGAAGTTCAAAGTATACTTTCCAACAGCTTGTTTATAAACTTGGAAATATTTTTTCAGAAATCTTATCTGGGATCATCAGAAGTTTAATTTTCGAAAGTTTTGAAATAAACAGACGTGCAGAATTATGTACATAAACCAAAGCAATTGGACCCATGTAGCGGAAATTTCTCTTATATACATAGTGGGATGTAGAATAGGGATTTGGGGTTCGGCTGTGCACTACAAAATAGATATGTAAGTATATATATGTCGATAGAAAATTGATAAAATGTATTAATTTCCTGTTAACCATTTAGGCATATAGATGGTGCTGACAAATCATCTATTCTTCTATGTTTAATAAAAACACTAACTATTAAGTGAATTGTTAAAAGTTTATATTCTAAATTTAGTATAGTTCTACAAGAAAAAAAGAACTAAAAATGTATGAAGACATTATATATAGCAGATTAACAGTGAGCATTTGCTCTCATAACTGTGGGGCAAAATATAGTTAAGATTCTGTCTATTTAATCTGCTTTAGTCTAAGTTAAATACGGGGTGTATATGTAGTATAGCGGGGAATGCATGAAATGTAATATGTATATGCTACTTTAAAAGTAGTTGCAGCTATTTAAATTATAGATTTTGTAAGAAAAAATAAAAATATGTGCACAATTTCTATTTTTCTCTAATCGCGTTACAATAGAATTTGAGTTTGAAACTTATAACTTTAAAAAAATTACAGACAGTATTCCTTGTCATACTGATTATAATATAGAACTCCAAAAACTAACAATAGTACAATTTAAACATATATACTGTCACAATTTTATAATTGAAACATCTAATTAATACATTGATACTCAGGCCTCGATCGAACAAGAACGAGAGTACATGAGAATTGGCAATCAAACGATCTTGGTTAGCTGTTCTTAATGCTTTCCCCCAACATTATCATATACTCTTGATATTTGCTGTGTTGGTGTAATGTACTCAGGTGAATAAGATGCTTGTGTGATGTTATTTAAGTTAAGACATAGTTGGAACACTCACAAAACCTTTATTTTGTTAATCTAGCGCTTGAAATGGTCCTGGTAACTTCGTGACTGCCAATTCTCGTTAACTCTCATTAGAGAGTTTAAGCTTCGCGTTATACGGCAAACGGCAAACGCCAGGCAAAGAAAACATTTACGGTATTAGGCAATAAAGAGTAAATGAACTTGCTGTTTTAAAACTGAAATACATAATTATTCTTTCGACGCAAGAAAGAAAATATGAAACGAAAACGTTCAAAGAAAATTTTGCCAAGAAAGTTCGAACCTGCCGTTTGCCGTTCCCGGAAACGTGAAGCTTAAACTCCCCTGATTAATTCTCGTTTAAAGGGGCCCAAGAACGTACTGACAGCCAATTTTAAAACTTACTAAAAACCGATTTACACTACACAACGTTTGCCTAAAACTTTCGCATGTATTAAACCTGCTTACAATTTGAATTGTACTGTGTATAAACCAAGCACGCGACTCGCCAATGACAACGTACGTAGCCGAGTTGAGTGCTTGATTTACACAGTACAACTCAAGTTGCAATCACTAGGTTGCATGCGACAGTTTTAGGCAAAAGTTGTATAGTGTACATCGGCTTTGATAGTGATTAATCTATTTTAGTAAACCAAATCGAATCATTTTGCAAACGGTCCATGGAGTTTCTCCACTTAATTTTTCATTCCAGATGGGATAATGGGAACAGCGAAGGCACATCCACTTTCAATACCGAGATTGTATTTATCTCCTTCGCCTTGCTTGTACGCACTTGTAACGATTCTCAACCATCCTTTCTCTCCCCAGGGCCTCCCCCAGGAGTTGCGAACAATCCAGTATTCAGTACCATTCTCCACACCCCACCCGGCCACAGATACAACATGGTTGATACCAATATCTTCGTTGTATTCTGAGTATATCCCACCTTGATAGGCATCTAACTTGGGTGTGGCCATGATTCCACAAGCAATAGGACCACGTTGGTGAATTTCTGCTTTCATCTTATCTAGACCGTTAACGCGACCTGGTTTGAAATAACGGGAAAAGGATTTAACATGATATGACTTTGCATAGGGTGAAAAGAATTTCTTTCAAGTTAGATTCAGGTCACTATACGAATTTAGATAACATTGCACAACAAATCTTGGATGTAGAAGAAAGCCAGAGAAATGCTGATTACGTATTTTACGTTAGGTGGGTGTTTACCTAAAACTTTTCTTGTTCTGCTCGACTAAATATATTCCAGATAAACAAGAAAATAAGTTTACAGTTTCCCGTAAACGTTTTTCTAGATAATGCAATTTGAATCTTCATAAGTAAAGTAACAATACTCAATAGCGTGTGCGGTCGCTTTCTCCTTTTTATAATGGTTCTTTTGATAACGCCGTGTTGTTTTTACGGCTGTGCATATAGACTATGATGACGATTCCAATACCAAAAAAACCTATTACCTAATGAACAAATTTTTGATCTAGACAAGTCTAGAAAAAATTTCATCACAGCTTGAAAGAGCATCACAAAATTAGTAATATTACGAAGTTTCGTTGCGAAATGTTGTAAAATTAAATGCGGATAATATAGCCCTGCGAAGTTTGCCGTTTTTTCAGTCATTTTGTATTACGCACGGGAAATTGATACCGCTTTCTGAAAGGTATCAATTTCCCGTGCGCAGTACAAAATGACTGAAAAACGGCAAACTTCGCAGGGCTACATTATAATAATTTTGTGATGCTCTTCAAAGCCGTGATGAAATTTTTGTCTAGACTTGTCTCAACATTCGTTCCCAGGGAAAGCCCTGGGAACGAGGTTGGACTTGTCTAAATCAAAATTTTGTTCATTTATAGGTAATAGCTAGGTCCATTAAAATCAGTATAAAACAATGAATAATCAAAGAAGTGCAGCTACCCACCAACACGAAATAAGTTGGAAGAACTTTGTAACACAACCAACGTTGTGTCAAAATTTGCAGATAGTCGGTTTAAAGCCGGTTCAGTCCACTAGCGAACTGTTTCGCGCGAAGCGACCTTTTCCCTTTGTCGGCATCCATTTTGCCGCGTCTTGCTGACGTATAATAAGTGATACCGACAAAGGAAAAAGGTCGCTTCGCGTGAGAAAATTCCCTAGTGGAAAACAGGCCTAAAGCCGAGTTTCGAAACCGCAAGGCTAATTGGATCCAGGCTAGCGGATCATGCAGGTCGAACCAATTAATTTCGCGTGAGATTTGCATTACAAATCTTCGTAGCAAATCGTTCGATGTGACATCGTCTTCAATAAACGTCAGTGACGTTTTCCACCAAGCTATTATTGCTTACCGTACTCGCTCACTTTAAAATGAGTGTAGTTGGCTATGGAATAACAGTGACCAGAATGAGAGCAAGTCTTGCATTGATGTTCCTTATCGCAGTCCTGATCCTTGGCTTGATAGTTATTACACGTTTCATCTGGAATACCCTCAGTATGTGCGTATGCATACACTGGGATCATACTGCCTCCTTCACATGAACCTGCATTGCCTGGAATAAGTAATCATTAATCATTATACTCTTATCAATAAATCACGCAAATCCTTTGTGGCCACTGATTGGCTGACGGAAAGTGCGGTTTCGTGGACGCAAGGGCCCTAGAAAAGCTGGAGAAACAACATCAGGGTGAAAGCAAGGGACCTTTTTCCTTTTGTGTTGTCTCAAAGGCCGTTGGAACCAGAGTGAACTGAGCATTTGAGATCAAGTTTGGCTGGTCTTTTGCTGATAACTGAAGAATGTCATGTCGACTTAGCAAAATGAGATTATAATGGCATTGCCACTTGACAGATTTTGCCACAAATTTGTTTAAGCCAAACCAAACTTAGCACGCCACAACGGTGGGCTCTGGTAGTTCTCTTGTTTTTTGTATAAATCAGCAAAGCCCTTTTTAAGCGTGGTACTTGGACCTGCATTGGGCGGTCACCCTGTATTAAACGGTTACTATAAAATACGAAATCCCCAATACGAGAGTGACCGCTTAATTAACCAGTGGCCTAACACAGGTTCGAGTGTATAAATGAAAGCAACTGGAGGTCATTATTCTCTCTAGTTGTCCTTGACTGGATGGATGGTATGGACGTCAGACAGACTTTTGTTTTGAACATGACGTTCAAAACAATGAGATGTCTGATCACCGAATTGGATACAGTCAGGGCGCAGTAAGTGTTTGCAAAGGAATTAAAGCAACATACCACAATCAAGGACATTTTGAACGGAAAGATAATTCACTGGCCACACGCCTTTCCTCTGAATGTTAATTCTGTCAGATAAGGCACTGGTGGTTCCCATCGCCCAACATGAACCACAGTATTGTGGGATGTGTTGATTACGTGTTACACTCACGTAGTTCTTGCCATCAACGTTTCTCCAATCCCAAGAAGCTGGAAGGTCTTTGACATTGATGTACTCGTGAGGGCGAGGCGTTTTACTGTTGGAAATATATCTTTCATTATTTACATTATTGTAAAAGGGATTTATGGTGTGTTTGGATGCCAAGTAAAGTGAGCGCTATCAGTAAGATGTTTTGTCATTCAAAAATAATAATAGTTGATCAGTTTTATTCAATCGAGTGAAAATGTGAGATGCTAACAAAATCTTGATATTTATCCATACCTGAACATGGCAGTACCCTAGTGTATATACACGAACTTGTGTTTAGATCGAAGCTTGGCGCGTGCTCCCAGGGGCGTAGGAAGCATCAAAAAGTGGGGGGGGGGGCAGTTTCGAGGGGCACTTTTCGAAAGAAAAGGGCACCTAAAAAATTTTTCCCGGAAATGTTAGCGACGGGGGGGAGGTCAACTCAAAAAAATTTCCACCAGACATACCATTATCTTCGCAAACATACAAAAAATTTTCTGTACATATCATAATTTTTCCGAAAATAACAAAATTTTTCCGGACATTGCATTATTTTCTTCCGAATATAACAAAATTTTTCCGGACATACCATGATTTTTTCCGAAAATAACAAAATTTTTCCGGACATGGCATTATTTTTTTTTGAATATAACAAAAATTTTTCCGCACATACCAAAATACTAAAATAAATGCAATCATGAATCAAAGGCTATTGAGGCAAACGGCGATCTCAACGACATTTTTAACGTAGTCAGAAGGGCACTTTCCCACCGAAAAAAGGACACTTTTGAAAACTTGGGAGCCTGCCCCCCGGTTCCTACGCCCCTGCGTACTCCTTAGGTGTAATAAATGTATAAAATTTGCACTCGATAATTTCCATCTAAAAATCCCATCGACTATTATTCATGCCAAGTGATATACTTCATTTTTATAATAACAGGAGATTTTGGTGTTTTGCAACCTTGCCATCTGTGACCTTGATATTATGCAAGGTTTTGAAACATGATACAGTACTGCATTTAAATCGCGATCACAATGGTGCTTTATAATCATAATTGAGAATAAGGATGAACTTTCGTAAATATTAACCGATTTTAGCCCAGAACTAAAAGTTCTAACACTAAGGTTTAACAGTTTTATTTCCGAACAGCCACGGTGTTGACCTCATTTTGTTCGTGACTAATTCGTGTCATGATGTCATCACTGCGAGTGCGCGAGAGCAAAAAATGTGACTACAGACGCAGGCTGCATGTCACACAATATATCCAAACATACAGCCATGATTTTGGCATGATTATAAAACAAGTCCGTGAAACTTTCATACAAGAAAAAAGTACAAAACTTACATAACTTCTTTGAATAAATTGTCCAGCTCAGGATTAACATAGCACACCCGTCTATTATTAATACGAATGTTAGAAATGTTGCTAGGCCGAGACACGCAGCCTTGAACTACATACAGACAAGCGAACGAGAGATACAAGTAGAACAGAGCCATTACGAACCAACCGCTCTTTGCGAAAGTTCACCACAGACTGCGTCACGATAGGAAAGGTCTCTCAAGTTTATTTTGTGTAAAAATATTGACATTATCAATCGTCACTTTGCAACAATAAATATGCTCATCATGTGAGGTGCACGCAAGTCACACGATGGGAAAAGGAAGTTCCTCTTTCATAAAAATTATTTATTTCATATATCTAATGAAAATAGTCTAGCCTGAGTGTCAGACGAATAACGAATTATATTCGTCGTTATTCGTCTGACACTCAGGCTAATGAAAATGCATTTCAATAAAAAGTTTCGCTTTCACTAGAAAGTTTCCCTTTCATTACAAATTCTAAAAGATTTCCCTGCATAAGAATTTATTAATTAATAATTCAAATAATAAGAATTATTATTTCCAAAGGGGGCAATCCGGTCAGACATGAATAAAACTCATTCTTCACCTTGCTCGGTTTCCTTTGTTCTTACCTGGGAATATATTCAATATTCTCTCTAATCCGAATTTCCGTTTAATAATCCCCTCTAATATTCACCTGTAATGTCTTTGCAGCACAAAAGATGAGAAAAAACAACATAACGAAGCCGAAGGCAATATGGCATTAAGAATTATTTTGATTCTGACTCATTAACGCGACCTCGCAATGTGAAACATAAGACGTTATTTTGAGGCACCTCGGGGATATGTCAGTTATTCACCTCGGCGCTGCGCGCCTCGGTGAATAAATCACATATCCCCTCGTTGCCTCAAAATAACCTATACATACAAAGCGGTTCCCAGCAGCCTTCCGATCTCGTATTCGACTTTTCCGCTTTGCTCGTGGACAACCTTAATTGAAATAGCTGTATACACAAGAAAGAATATCAGAACAGACTATAGTGTTGGCATAGGCGTACGGGAAGCAAAAAATTGGGGGGGGGGGGCAGAAAGAAATTTGCCCGACTTTTTCGGATTGTGCCCGACTAGTGCCGAAAAAATTTTTTTCCAGATTTTTTTTGGCGACCTCTCACCCCCCCCGCCCCCCGTCGCCAAAAAAATTTCGGTCAGTGTACCATTTTAGAGGTCAAAAAAAATTTTTCGGACATACCAAAATTTTTCGGAACCTCAAACAAACTTTCCCAAAAATCGAAAAATTTACATATTTCCAACAAATTTTACAGAATTTTTTATAAAAACCAAATACTACCCGACTGTGAAGCGAAAATTGCCCAACTGGCTTTGTTTGTCCAACAAACTGGGGTTATTATTAAGAGAGATTTTCTTGTTTTGACTACTTTTTGCCCGACTTTTGCTGAACATTTGCCCGACTTTTCGACTTTCTAATCCTGTTGGGGGGGGGGGGCAGCTGCCCCCCTGCCCCCCCCCCGCCCCGTACGCCTATGAGTGTTGGAAATTAACACATTAGATGAATTTACATTTTTAAGCTTGGACGTTTTGCTACTTTTTTCGTCATAGTCTATCAACTGAATATGACTGTCTGAAAATTTAAAATAAGTCATTGACATTGTGTTATGTTTTTGTCGACTGAGTTTATGTTAATTTGTGCACGGTGACGGTGATTGAGTTCATTGTATTTTCATATAAATGAAAGAATAGCCGCCAAGGTGAAACTTGCAGCCACGTGATGACTAATATCTAATAAACTTTGGAGACAAATGATTTGTGCACGTTGAGGGTACAGTTCGGCATTAATTAAACAAGTCATTCCAATCCAATCCAGACCATCAAGTGATGACAGTATATGAAAACACGTGGGGCGGAGTGGGTGGAGTGGGGGGTATGGATACAATATAATAAGGGTATGGTATCTATCCTTCCTATCCTCATCCACTGAAGCCCTCAACAAATTACACTGGCATCCACTTCCCCACCGACGCAAACTACACCGAATACCAACCATATATAAATTAAAAAATAATTTAACAGAGTTTAATCTCGAACTGCCTATAACTAATCATTTATATAACACAAAACGCAGAGATGATATGTACCTCTGTAAGCCTAAGACAAACTGGGGAAAGCAAAAACTGCTTTACCACGCTTGTAAAGAGTACAATGATTTGAACTATAATACTAGATCCATTGAACAGTTAGGAACCTTTAGGAATGAACTTCTCAAATCTCTATCTTTATAATACTCATAGTCTCATACAGTATATTTAAAATATAACTTACTAACTCTTTATATCCTTGTAAATATGTATAGCATCATGTATCCTATAGTCTCATAATTTTTCTGGTATATCATATATATCCATATATACCAATATGTAAATACTGCACGCACACTATATATATTTTCTATACTTTGTATTTTAATGTTTTACAGGAACCATCTGAAAAACACTTCTTGTGATGTTGGTCATGTATATACCCTTGACATTGGCGTAACAGAGGAAGAAGGGGCCCTTAGGCATATTTGGTGTGGGGGCCCCGTTGACTGTCGTCATTGTTTGACTGAGATATTATATTTATATTGAATATTTATAGAATGTTCTGGAAAATTCCCTGTCTATAACAAATACAATAACAGTCTCCAACACATGTAACAACTAGTAAGAATAACTTTTGTTTTATTTGAGATGGCATAAAAAAGTCAGCTACCGTTGTCGATGGAGATTTCATTCTTTAGCATTATTAATTTTGCATTTTCCCATTGATTCTTAATTTGCATTTTTTACGTTTTCTAATATTCTGGGCCCGTAACTGTGTGTATTATTGTGTAGGGGGCTTAGTTTTGGAACCAACCCTATCTAATGAGCGTTACGCCACTGACCCTTGACTCAGCCGTAATTCACCCAGGTACATACAGAACAATTCTGGTATCTTTTATAGTCTATATCTCATGCTCTTTACACATATACTAAAACTTATGCATTTTCTGTCACAATTTAATTGAAACATCTAAATATTGACTAAATTTACCAATAGATCTTAGCTAGTAAACCAAATCTTGAAAATCTAATCATTTTACTAAAATTTACGCATTCTCTGTCACAATTTAATTGAATCATCTTATTCATCTAAATATACTAAATTTACTTTTAGTAATTAATAGATCTTAGTATAAAATCAAATCCAATCATTTTGCAAATGGTCGAGTTAATTTTTCATCATTTCAGATGAAATAACGGGAACAGCAAAGACACAACCGCTTTCAATGCTAAGATTGTATTTATCTCCTTCGCCTTTCTTGTAAGCACTTGTAACGATTCTCAACCATCCTTTCTCGCCCCAGGGCCTACCCCAGGAGTTGCGAACAATCCAGTATTCAGTACCATTCTCCACACCCCACCCGACCACAGAGACACTATGGTTGGTATCATGATCTTCGTTGTATTCTGAGTATATTCCACCTTGATAGGCATCTAACTTGGCTGTGGCCATGATTCCACAAGCAATAGGACCACGTTGGTAAATTTCTGCTTTCATCTTATCTAGACCCTTAACATGACCTGATTTGAAATCAGAAGAAATCTATTAGCATCGTAAAACACAACAATAGTCAATAACTACATTACATTAAAGCTTGGTTTCGATACGGTCGTAAAAATAGAGTCACGATCTTTCTCAACGGCCAGTTTATATAGTTTATACCAGTAAACAACATATAAATCATAAGTATTCTCTAGCTATAATCACTCCGCGTATTTTCAGTTCTAAAATGTTGTATTTCGGCTGATGAGAAAGATCGTGACTCAATCTTTACGACCGTTACGACCATATGGAAACCAGGCTTAAGTACTGAATATATGGTCCATGTTATCTAGTCATTAATGGGTCAGACAAGTGAGACAACCATATTTCATTTGGGGCGTTATGCCTTATGTAGTCGTTAAAAATAATATAATTTCTATTTACTATTCCAAATTTAAATGAAAAACAAATCTTCGTAGTTCGTATCCAATTGTTCCGTGTAATATCGTCTTCAATAAACAGAATAAACGTTAGTGGTGTTTTCCACAAAACAATTATTGCTTACCGTACTCGCTCACTTTAAAATGAGTGTAGTTCTTGATAGAATAACAATGACCAGCATAAGAGCAAGTCTTGCATTGATGTTCTTTATCGCAGTCCTGATTTTTTGCTTGGTAGTTATTGCACGTTTCATCCGGGATACCATCAGTATGTGCATATTTATACACTGGGATCATATCGCCCCCATCACACGAACCTGCATTACCTGGGAAAAGTATATAATCGGCACACTCTTAAGCCCAGGGCAAACTAGGAAACATTGTTGCGGAAACATTGTTGCGGAAACATTGTTGCGGAAACATTGTTGCGGAAACATTGTTTCCTACCAATGTTTCGCCATGTTTCCCTGAGTGAGCAAACACTAGGAAACATTAGTGAGAAACATAGGGAAACATCAAATGTTTCTGAATTTGGTAGGAAACATTTTGCTTCCCGGGAAGCAAATTTTGTTTCCGCAACAATGTTTCCACGGGTGGGCAAACATTTGAGGAAGCATGCATTTAGAATCACAAACGTTTCCGCAACAATGTTTCCTAGTTTGCCCTGGGCTTTAGAAAACAAAACATACGACGTTTAATTTTGCATCATTCAGAAATCTTAACCCAAAATGGGGGAAATTCAGAGACCACACCACCCCCCTTCCCAGATAATTTTTACAGGGGTACGAGACAGGGGGAACTGCCCTACACTTGATGGCATGTTAAATGTTTGCAACGAAACACTTTTGTACTCCTTTAATAAAGCAACCTACCACAATCAAGGACATTTTGAACGGAAAGATAATTCACTGGCCACACGCCTTTCCTCTGAATGTTAATTCTGTCAGATAAAGCACTTGTGGTTGCCATTGCCCAACATGAACCACAATATTGTGGGATGTGTTGATTACGTGTTACACTGACGTAGTTCTTGCCATTAAGGTTTCTCCAATCCCAAGAAGCTGGAAGGTCTTTGACATTGATGTACTCGTGAGGGCGAGGCGTTTTACTGTTGGAAATATATCAATCAGTACGGAGTAAATCGAACTAAGCAATCTCCTATACACTTACTAAAGAAAATTATGAACAAATCGTCTCAAACAAATTAAAAACTTTAAGTATTCACATGAATATAACACTCGATCAAAGTCTGTGTACCACTTACCTGTTCCAAAAACTAATAAGTTATTAATGTAAATATTAATATCTTTGGAATAGTCTAGATTCCACTATTTGTTCTAGCAAATATATCGCCAAAGGTACATTTATTAAAGTATGATGAACAATTATACTTACGACAATTTTAAAGTTGCAACTATTTTTTAGCTATATATATATACTACCACTACTAGTTATAAATTTGTATTTCATTAGCGGCTTTGTCTTATAAAGGAAGAATACAGTTTAGTATAATTACGTATACGGTATACCCTTATAGTTTAATACAGGTTTCGTACATGTCAGGAAGAGTCAAATTCAAGGACTTTTCAAGGACATTCATGAAAGGCCGTGTATCAGCAAATTCAAGGACTAAATACTGAAGAAGGCGTTAGAAATCAGCAAAATCTGACGTTGAATTGTTCAAAACGTAACTTTATAATGAGGTCAGATATGAACATGCAAAATCAGTTCAACAAAATGTCCGTCTTGAATGTCAAACAATTTCAGAAATTTCCAAAAACTAATTAAGCAAGAAGAATTCAAGGTCATTCAAGTACTTCTTTGCAAATTCCAGGACATTCAAGCCTCAAGGCCTTGAATTTTTGTTTTCAAATTCAAGGACATTCAAGGACTTTCAAGTTTTGTACGAACCCTGTTAATACTACCACTACTGATCAAGAGTGGCGGCCAAATAAAGTACTAGGGACCGGCTACTAGTTGCTACTGGTCTGTAGTGATTCGTAACAGTTCTCGATCATGTTATAATGTTGATTGGGCACACAAAATGCCACGATAACTCTGTTCTTCAACTGTGTACATTTCAAGAACTCGTGATTATGCATGCAATATTATACTATAGGTTGCTTAAAATGTAGTAAATGCTGCCTTTTTAGCACAACCTCGCGGTCAAGAAAGATAGAAGGCAGGACCACATAGAACACATGCATGTCGATGCCTCCTCTATGCCTGTTGTGTACATGCAACAGATGATCCAGCTATAGACGAAATTTTGATCTAGACAAGAAGAACGAAGCCATTACCATAGCTGGAAAGAGCCTCTTTAAATGAGTAAAATTGCAAAGTTTGGTTGCTAATTGTTGTAAAATGAGGAAAATATACCTTGTGAAGTTCGCAAATTTTGTATGTAATTTGCATTACGCGCGGAAAAAATAACCATTTTTGATCCGAAACTTATTTTTACCGCGCGTAATACAAATATATACAAAATTTGCGAACGGCTTGACAGGGCTATATTTTCTTCATTTTACAACATTTAGCAACCATGCAATCGTTGCAGTTTTACTCATTCTAAGACGTTCTTTCTAGCTGTGCCGGTGTGGTGTTGGATTTCGTTCTTCGTGCCTTGATCAAAATTTAGTCTGTATTGTAGTTGGAATCACCATTATGAAATAAAATTTCGTTTACTCTATGCCTAGGTGAGGTCCTGCATCCAACATAATACAGTTTTTATACTGTCAAGCCAATATCTGGCAATATGTTATTCTGCTTATGTGTAATTGGCCGTTTTTATACTAGAGATGCATTATGCGTCTGGACGAACTTGGGCAAGCATTTGTTGTTCGTCTGGTTATGCGTCCTCAGTATAAAGACGAGCACAAGACGCATTATGCGTCTAGACGAACTATGTTCGATTCTTCTTCGTCTTAAGAGACGCACAACCGATGATAGTTCGTCTAGACGCACAATGCGTCTTGTGCCCGTCTTTATACTGAGGACGCATAACCAGACGAACAATAAATGCTGATAGTTCGTCTGATTATTCGTCCCGTCTTTATACTAGACGAATAATATAGAAGACGGATTATGCGTCCAGACGCATAATGCGTCTCTAGTATAAAAACGGCCATTATTGTGATTCTAAAGCGCTGTATGTCCAAGGCGAAGTTTATAAATAAATAAATAAATAAATAAATAAATATATAGATAGATAAGCATTGAAGAGAGAAATGTGTTTACTGGTGACCTAATCGTGTCCTTCGGTCACAGCAAAAAGTGTGTCCGCAGTTTTACAGTATGCTATAGACACAGAATATTTCCAAACATATAGAGCCATTGTCAGCCATGATTATAAAACATGTCCGTCCAACTTTCATAGAAGAAAGAATACAAAACTTACATAACTTCTTTCGAATTCTTGTCCAGCTCAGGATTACGGTAACACGGCGGTCTATTACGAATGCTGCGAGGCGCATAACCTTGAACTACATACAGACAAGCGAAGGAGAGACACAAGTAGAACAAAGCCATTACGAACCGACCGTTCCAACAACAAACTGCATGCGTCGCGATGCGAAAGGTCTCTCAAGTTTATTTGGTGTAAAAGTATTGACCTTATCAATCGTCACTTATGCTCATCATGAGAGTCAACTACACTGTTCTCCATATATGATCCAATCACAGTGGGGCAAATTGGTCAAAATTATAGAATATTTACCTATTAAAGACAAAGTACTATATCTTATAAATTTTTTTAGAACCACCGAGTATTTTATACAAAACAAGTGAAACTTCAATGATCGATAGCATTTATATTTATCTATATTTTATTTATCATTTTTATTTATGTATTTACTTATTAAAATAGTCGAAACGTATATAAATAAATAAATAAATAAATAAATAAAAATGTTATCGATCTTTGGAGTTTCACTTGTTTTGTATGTTATATCTTATAAAAAAAGTGACATTTCGTAGTTCACTTTTAGCAAATATCACCTATAATCGTTAGCAAGCTCCCAAAAAACTAAATATAGGACATTTAAACGGCTGCTACGATATTCGAAACCGATTTTAAGTTACATAAGGTTAAACCTGCCGAAAAAACAGTGGCCTTTTTGTACCATGTTGCCGGATTTTTGAACATTAATAACTTGCATGGGCATACCCTAACATTATGCCAAGTTGTGTTTTTATCATCAAATACATGACAATTTTGCCACCAATCTGCTATACACCAACTGTTCTCAGGCAAGTGTATATATAATATCCAGTCATTAAAATATACGCAAATTTGATTTGTGTCTAATTTTAAATGAGTATCTTTTTGGGTCATACAACAAATATACCAGGAGTCCAGGAATATTTCAAATATTTCAGGTCAGGGTAGCCAGATGGCTTCTTAAATTAAGCCATTAATACCAATTCGAAAATTCCAATAATTCCATCCAAATTTATGGTTCATGTTCGTGTGCGTTCACGTTTAATCATTTGCGTGTTCGCGTGTAATCGTGTGCGCGTTCATATTTAATTTATGCACTACACACGTAAACTAAACGCACAGTTGTAACAAACCTGCAGCAGACTTGTAGCAATGCTGTTCCAACAACTTGTCAATAGGATGTGTTCGCACTGCTTGTTCCCAGCTTGTTGACAAGTTGTCAACGGCCTGTTGAGAACTTGTTAGAAGGTTGTTGAGCTCAACAGACGTGTTACAAGGTGTTCCAACAACTTGTTATCGTCCCGGTGTCCAACAATTTGTCAACAAGTTGTGAGTGACAACCTTGTAGCAACCTTGTATTGATAAAATTAAATAACAGCATCGTTACAACTTGTTGACAAGTTTGCAACAAGGCTGTTGCGAACATCTTGTTGACAAGTTGTGAGAATTCTACGCGTGTACCGTTGTGTACCGTTGAATCGTTTGCGCATTCGTGTATGATCGTTTGCGTGTCACGTTCGATCATTTGCGTATTCACGTTTAATGCAGTTTATGCAAGCAACGGTACAACCATCGCTCCGCCCGAGACCTCCCACATCATTGCAGCGAGCCTGCGAGCATGTCCCGTGGTTTGACTCAGCGGTAATACACCCAGGTGCATACAGAACAATTCGTGGCAACAAATCTTGTCTCGGATGGTGGAGGGAAAACAGCGTCGTTTTAATTCACTGCGAAAAAAAAACAAACGTAAAATATATCTCGCTGAACGTGTGACTCGTTGTAGGCAGCAATGTACAGGTATCTGCCGTGGTTTGTGTTTGAACTGTGTAGGAAGTATTCCACACTAAACTGCCGTGGTCTGTGTCTGAACTACTTGAAAAAGATATCCCAAATGTGGTGGTCAAGTGTAGAGGTAGTAGTTTACAATAAACTGCCATGGTTTCTGTTTGATCTACTTGAAAAAGATATCTCAAATGTGGTGGTCCAGTGTAGATAATATTCTACAATAAACTACCGTGGTTTGTGTCTGAACTACCTGAAAAAATATCTCAAACTTGGAGGTCCAGCGTAGGTATTACTACCTGAAAGAGCAAATTAGTTACCGAAGGCTTTCCAAGGGCAGGTAAAAGGAGGAACATTCGATGAAACACAGGACTGTTCAAATGTTTCAGCGACAATTTTCCCTAGTTTGCTCATGGCGTTATATCCATACGAAGGTTCTTCACTCAACTTTTCAGACAGTTACATCACACACAGACGCCGTAGATTGCACTTTTTTCTACCTAGACTGGCACCCAACATCGGAGAGGTTCAGACTTGACTTCCACTATCTTTACCTTTTAAGGGACCATTAACCAATCAGATGTGTTTGATACATCCAATTAACCAGGAGTAGTGATAGTCGTATGGTGGAAGTCAAATCTGAACTTCTCTAAGGGCCTGTTCATATGGGGAAAAGTTATCCCGGTTAGCGAGAAAACATCTCGACTAGCCAAATACTTTTGTTCTGTTCATATGGAGAAACGTTATCCCGCTTACCAGGAAAGTTTCCGGCTGTGACGTAGCACTGGTGTGACGGGAAAAGTTAAGAAACTTTAAAATACATTTTAAAAACAGAAAAGTTGTTGACACGACAGAAAGTATGTTGTGTTCATATGGGAAAAATATTATCCCGGTCACCGAGATCTCGCCTGTCAACAAGTAAGATCTCGGCACAAGAGAAAATGTTTCGCCTCATATGAACGCACGAGTGTAACTTTTCATATTATTTTCATAACAAGGCGAAATCTCGCTTGTATACTTGTCGAAATGTTTTCTCGCTAACCAGGATAACTTTTCCCCACATGAACAGGCCCTCAGTCAAGATTTTATAATCACGTGCTATCCGTCTACATAGGATCACACGCTACTCCGGTCTGCATAATGGCAGATCTAAAAGGATTTGGGAAGTCGAATCGTGGGAAGGTGAAAATTAAGGAGTTCGTGGAAGCGGGCTATCGGTGTGTACCTGTAGAAATATGACCCAATGATCCCAGGAGATTCAGGAAATTCTGTTACAAATGCATTTGTATCTTTGACATTTCTCTGGTTCCCTGAGGAGTCTTCAAACCACAAAATGTACGTGAATAGAAAATCACCGTAATGAACAGATACGTTCATGTGACCTAACGGGAAAGAAACTCAGGTTATCTAACAAGTCTATAAACGCGATCGTAAAGGGCAGTGCATTGAAGACCGACGAGATCTGTATAATGCATAGACGGATTTTCTAGGGGGGTGCAGGGGGGTGCTACCCCCTCAATATTAGCTATAACCCCTCCAAACAAAATGTCCACCCCTCCAAAAAAAATTTTCAACCCCCCCAATATTCGGCATAATAAATAAATAATTAAATAGTCCACTCCAACGTGCAGAGTGTTGATGATACAAAATAAACGTAGGAGTACACTCGAACAGAAAAAGACAGTGCAACACTCTGAAACTAATCGCTCCTCGCTTGCATTCACTGGTTTATTGGAGCAATTGTAAAGTTTTGAAACTCTATTATCTTCCCTGAATAGAGTTTGCAGTGACTTGTCATGCGAATAGCTTGCACGCAAGGAACGTTTGGAATTTTTACGAACACTATTTTTAGGAAATAGACTTGCCTAGATTTAATCTTTACCCCCCAAATATTATTTACATCGGAGTTGCATCATAAATTGTACTCGGATTCAAACAACACAATGTCAATGACTTTATAAAAGTAAAAGCATATTGTGTATTGGCCTATTGGGTTTACACTTTTACAGGTTCATTTAACTTTAAGTCTTGAACTCTCTCAAGTCTCAACAGACAATCGGACATGCCAAATCCATTGATATGACAGATTGACAACTTCAAAAAACTTTTTTTCGAAGCTAGAAATCATGATTTTTTCCCAATTTTTTCCTGGGATACTTTGTTTTCTGCTCTCTAGACTCCCCCTCGCGGCTCTAGTGATCCACCCCTAGAATATAGACCTTACTGGGGTTTGGTGACACTTGGTGTTGCTTCAGTCACCTGCTCACGGCTCACCACCCTAATATTTCTGGCACCACCCCAGTAATAAATATGAAAATCCGTCTATGGTATAATGTACAATGGGTAATTCCAGCTATAGACAAAATTTTGATCTAAACAAGAAGAACGCAATCCATTACCATAGCTTGAAAGAGCATCTTAAAATGAGTAAAATTGCGACGTTTGGTTGCGAATTGTTGTAAAATGAGGAAAATATAGCCCTGTGAAGTTCGCAAATTTTGTATACATTTGCATCACGCGCGGGAAAAATAACCGTTTTTAGCCAAAAGTGGTTATTTTTACCGCGCGTAATACAAATATATACAAAATCTGCGAACTTCACAGGGTTATATATATTTTTTCATTTTACAACATTTAGCAACCAATCTTTGCAGTTTTACTCATTCTAAGACGCTCTTTCTAGCAGATGTGGTGTTGGATTTCGTTCTTCTTCACTTGATCAAAGTTTAGTCTATAGCTGGCTGGAATCACCCATTATAAATATCGAAAACTAACCTTGTACTAGAAATGTTTGTATATAGTTCCAGCCATCCCAAATACTCTGCTTAATAAAATGTGCTGGATCACGGTGGTTGAATATTTGAAATACGTCCGTGTTGATCGATGGAGCTATCACACGATTGGCTGTACGATCGATGTACATAAAATGAACAAGACCTGGAAACTCTTCTAAATATGTGAACATTGGTTAAGGAAGACGTTCGCTTTGGACAAACCAGGAAACATTGTTACAAAAACATATTTTTACACATGTTTTACCCAGGAAACATAGTTTCCTAGCCATGTTTTCCGAAGGAGGAAAAACCAGGAAACCTTGTTTCCTAGCCATGTTTCCTGAAGGTGGACAAACCGGGAAACATTGTTTCCTAGCCATGTTTCCTGAAGATGGACAAACCAGGAAAGAGTATTTCCAAGCCATGTTTTCCGAAGGTGGGCAAACCAGGAAACATTGTTTGCTAACCATGTTTACTGAAGGTGCATAAACCAGGAAACATTGTTTCCTAGTACAGGGTTCGTAGTCTCCAAGACCAAAACATTTCAAAGACTTTCAAAGATTTTTTCTGCCTATTGTCAACGACTTTTGAAAGACCTTTGAGAGCAATCAGGTGTCGAAAAATTGCGATGTATAAGCACCATTTTTACCAGATACAGTAATTAGTCCCGTCAAATCACATCCTAAAATGCACTTTTTCGTCGATATTTGCGAAAATCTTGCTTCAATCAATCTATTTTATTAGCTAGGAAATCGTATAATCAAATAATCACTAAAGAATTTAAAGACTT